TTCCCTACTGCCCACCTCTGTGAGAAGCCTATTGCCTGTCTCCTCACCACTCTCAGTGTAGCTCATCTCAATCCAAAGAATAGTTTGGAGTCAAGATTTCTCAAGAGATCCTTGACTTGATCCTCACCCATTGCTAATTATTCTCCTCCTTGAACCCTCAATCCAAACACATAGGCCTGGGAGACACTATCAGAGAAGACTGAATTCAAGTGTCTTGGCCTCATCTGAGTTGGCAGCTACTAATTTAGCTAGTCCACTCAGCACAGGTCCATGTTTTCCTTGTCTGTTCCTGTACTGCTAAAGCAACAGAAAGGTTTTTTTGGGGTAGTCCTTGATGTCCCTTGTTTCTTATCCTTTAGCTCCAGGTCTGCATTGACTTCTTGAAACCACCCCTATGTGCCTGGAAAATGTTTCTGTGATCCTTTTTTTCCTTTCGTAGCCTGTCCCTGCTTTCAGCTCCTGTATGCTCTCTTTGTACTGCAGCTCAGTCACAAGTTACCCACTCAGCCAGGTCAGTCTCCTGTTATGTCTATTCATTTTCAAGAGTGTACGATTCTTGTGCTTGGAAGATGCTGTCCTTAAAAACTTGGCAGCCTTCCTCAGCAGATTTACTCTTCAGATTTACCTTCCATTGAATACCATCTACCATTTCCCTGAATAACCCCAAACTCTTTTCTTGAAGTGGAGGGTCTGTACTTTTTTCTTCTACTTGCCTTCCTCACTTCCATCAGGATCTTGAAGTCCTCTATTTCATTGTCTAACAAATCTTCAACAAAATCACAATTTTTATTGAGCGGTCCATTGACAACACGACAGTGCCCTCTAAAAGGGCCAGAATTAATTGCTAGGCCTGCTTAGCACCCTTCAAGTTCTGGAAGTGCTGCAAAGACTGTATATTCAGCTGAGCCAGGGAAACAGAGCACAAGTGGCAAGGACAAACCTCTGTATGTAACTATGGAGTGTTCCCTCACACTGAGTAGCATCTTGAGTAGCATCCAGGAATTAGCACGTTCTGCCAAAATTATACGTGTTTTCAATTAAAACACAGAACACTACGCTCTAAGATACAGCAAAGATAAGAAACAAGAGGACAATGTCCATCACACAATCTTTCTCCATACATTCCAGGAAGTAATTTTCTGATTAAATATAAATAGCACCATATAATTTATCTAACAACTACATTAGGCAGCTGTGACTAATCAACACTTATTGACACTGCACCATAAGCTGCATTTTCCTTTAATTAAATACCAAGCCTGACCTTTACACACTATCATGTCAGTGACTGAATGTGAAAAATCACTTAGCAGATAAATGGGTATTTTCTGCTAGACAGGTGCTCACCTTGGGATGCTTGTTAGGTAGGTCAGGACATTCTGGAACTCCTTCTCAGGGATCTCACTGAAAGCTGGATAGTCTGGAAAGGTGATAACAGGGCATCCATCTCCCCCTCTTCCACCTACAAAAGAAGCAAGCATCAGGCATGTTTATAAACAAGTCCCTTTACCTAGCCTGCAAGTTTCCAGTAAATGAAACTACTGTTTTTCTTCAGGGTTTTTTGATGCAGGGCTCATCAGCGAGGACACTGCTTATTCTGAACAGCCTAGTCTCTTCTTCAGATCTTGCGAATTTTTATAGGAGTTACACCCCATTAGTTTTCTATACAAATGTCTTTGCTCATGTGAACACAGTTTTGACACCAGATGGCAGTGCATCTTTCTTTTGACAAATGGCAACTGTAAGTACATACAACCAATTTGGAGAGAGAAATGAGCTAATTTAGTTTAAAAAAAAAAAAAGTTAATTCAGAATTAAGTAGGTGAATCTCCACCTTGAACTGAATTCAACCTTCTCACCGGTATGAACTCGGTCATGCAACAACCCCCCATTCCCTTTCCATGAAGGTGCTGTGCTTCCAGGATGATCTAAAGAAAGGGCCAGAACATTAAAAGAAATGGGGGAAGGTGTTTCAAATGAGATTTCCTGCTAAGCTGCTAAGATTACCTACAAAAGGTAAAGCAGAGCCAAACACCTCCACTGCTGCATGGCTGCTGATGAGCTAGATATCATTATCTGTATCTTTTCTGGCTTTTGCACCACTGGCGTAGTATTCAGAGATACAATGCTTTTTAATGCACTTCACACACATTTTTGTATGTAAAATTAACATTGCTTTTAAAAGAAAATGTTACATGTCTCATGCCTTAAGCCAGTATATTTTCATAAAGGCAGGCTGGACAAAGGGCTTGTTGAGCCCTAGCAACTGCACGAAGTTGACAGTTGGAGGGTAGCAGGGACACATTGCTGGAAAGTTATCTTTGCTTCACAATTGAAAGAAAGGAGGAAAACAACAAAAATTACTGTGGTGAAGTAATAAGAATATTTTTTTCCCAGCACTGAAATCTGACAGTTGGGTAGAAATCAGTTGTAAACTGTATTAACAACACTGACCATGAGAGCAACAGTGATTTGTGAAAATTACAGTGCACTACCCACTCCCAATGCCTTTATGCCTAACCAGAAAAAGAAGAGAAATGTTTGAGCTCAGATTCAATTGATAAAAGAAATCACTGTTCCTCTCCAAACCCACATGTAATTAGAAGAGCTCAAATACTATCCTTATGTTAATTTGTGGTGAATCTGACTTCAATCTACCATTTTACAGGCAATATGGTGCTACCAGCTCTTGAAATCAAACTATGTCAGAAAATAATGTGCTCTGAATGCATTTAAACAACAAGAAAATGCAACTATTATGCAAAAAATCACAAGTTCGCAAACACAACCCTTTACAACACATCTGAATGTGGCAACGTTAAGCCAAGAGAATTAATTTTAGCTAAACAATGTTCACAATACTAATGTAAGTGAAGACTGATTTTGATTCTGTTACTTTTTTATTCTACCCAGGCTCTGAGGACCAAAGCATTTTCCTCTCTCATTAAAAACAAGCAATTTCAAGCATGATAATTATTATTCCTGTTACTCATGAGGTGCTCTGCTCTCTCTAGAATACCTATTTTTAGCTACAATGATACATTATTTGCTGTATCCCCACTGGTTACTTGCTTTGTTCTACTTAATTTCTATAAATAGGACATATGAAACAAAAGAACAACAATAGACTTGCAGGGGACATCCTAAATGCAGAAGCCCAGACTATGACCTTCAGGAAGTTCCCAGACCACCACCAATTGCCAAGGGCAAATAGAGCCATCCTGCCTTGACACTGCCTGTTAATTTTAAGTTTCTAGTATAGTCATCATGGTCATCTTGGGTGGAGGTTACTCTGTCCTGCCACATGCTGCTAGAAGACATTTGTTCACTGATTATCTTTTTCTCCAGTATTTTCCTGCTGGGACACTTAAACACACATGTACCTTGAAATGCTGCTCAACTGCTTCTTTTCTATCAGGACCTTGCTGCAGAAAAGAGTTTAGGGCACAGTGACCTGAAGTGATACACATAATAAATTCTGTAGAATTTCAGCTTTAACATCATTGACACTATAGAAGTTGCTTTCTATATTGCCACTTTAAATACATGGCCATCAATGGAAGATAGTCCACTCTAGCAAAGCAGTTGAGTGTTTGACATAGTAGGCCACAAAAAGGGCATGAGAAATAAAACAAACTAAAAATTCTACATGTAAATTCTGTTTGTATTAAATAAGAGTAAAAGCAGTAGGTGCGTTCACTTTTTAAAGTATCTTATATCTCATAACGAACCTGATGCAACAAGGAATTATTTTTTCCCTTTTTTTTTTTAACCGCTTTTTGTTTCTTCACCTCTGCAAAAGCAGCACTGCACAGTTTATTCCTAAATTTACTGTGTAAAATGTGGTTTTCTTCCCTTCTCCCAGAAGTAAATCAAGTCACAGAATTTAGGTGGAAAGTTTAGGAATCTAGGTTGGGTTTTGTTGTTGTTTTTAGTGAGAGGGAAAGCATTTGAGTGACAAAATGAACCAATTTACTTCTCTCATCCTTCTTGAAACACAGTTTTAAGGCACAAATTTAAAGCATCTTATTAAAAACAATTCACATTATAATCTTCCAGCATCTCAGAATTATATACACCCAATTGCAAATAGAATGAAATATAAACTTAGATGAACTTCGAGCACTACAACTCATGAGAATAATTCAGTTTGTACAGGGTAATTTTTAAAACAAGTGACTGGAATTTTAATCACCATCCAAAAAAGTATCAATTTAACTGTAATATTTTAATAAATTTAGGTCTGTTCGTAGAGTGACTACATCTAATTACCTCAGTCATAGCCACTGGAAAATCATCTCTTTCTCCTTCACTTCTAGCTCACAGTACTGAAACTTCAGCCACAGATGTGAAACAGTCTAAACTTATTTGTGGGGCAAGTTCTGTCGACACTGGCACACACAAGCTCACTTTCCTATTTCTAAGGTTAAACAGGGATGCTCTGACCTATACAATTGGAATTGAATAGTGTTATGCATTCCTAAGGGAACCAAGTATCTCCTTGAGAGCATTGAGAACATTTTCTTAGTCTAATCTTAGTTGCTGGGGGTTTTAAAATCTAAATTTCTGAAAGGATATTAAATCCCCTTATTTTTGTTAAAAAATATGAACACTGTTGTAACTATGCAAATGTCAGGTTGATGGAGCATTGAGCAGCTGGATCTAGTGAATTATGTCTTTAGCCACAGTAGGGGGGGTTGGACCAGATGATCTTTAAAGGTTCCTTCCAAACTGTTCTGTGATTCTATGAAAATGTGGAAAAACATTCAGTATTATTTCTTCTTGAAATATTAAACAAATGCCACTTGAGTGCCAGCTTCAGGGGCTTTTTATTGTAAAAAGCAGAAGAGTCCTTAAGTGTGTGCAATCAGACCACACACATTTTACCTGAAATGGTTCCCAAGAATTACTTGAGACTTGTCACATAACATGCAGCTGTAAGGAACATTTTCCAATTGAGAGAATTATTACTTTTCAGTCTAGAAATGGAAACACCATAGAAGTAAAGAGCACATATCAGCTATTTAAAAAAATAAAACTACCACACCACTTTAAATGAAGTAGATCTGCTTCCATCCTACTCCCACGAGCCTCTGTTAAAGGCAAACTTTGTTATTAACTCATTAACATTTTTGCAACCTATTTAACTGAAACTTCTTCAACAGATGTGATATAAAAGAAAACACAAATTACTGCTCTGAAATGGAAATTTTTCAGTGGCTAAACATCTAAAATTCTACTAAACCTCCACTTAGGTGGAGCTCTTCTAAATAGGTCTACGTGCCTTAGTCTAGAGCCAGTTTTTACAACAGCAACCGCCCTGTGTTTTGGAAAAAAATGCATTTTAAAAACATGTTGAATTGCATTATCTCCACAGGTTAGGTAGCAAAATCACTGAACTGTGCTTAGGAAAGAGCACTTCATGTTCTTAACTTTTGTATACAATTATTTAAACAATAGCACCAACTGTTACAGTTATTTGGACCCAAAGCATTGTGATCTTGTGTATGAAAGGAGTGGAAAAATTATCCTTGGAAAACTAGCTGTGCTATTGTGAGATGGGACTGATAAAATTTACCTTATGTCTTTTAGCTTTTATTCTTTATAATCTGCAACAACTAACTGTTCCCATCACAGCTGTAATCTCTTTCAGGTTTGTCTTGTTTGGTTTTTTTTATTAAGCAGGTAGGGTGATCGTAGTAGTGCCAAACCAAGGAAATTATAACACTGTTCTACACAAATCTAATCAAAAGGTATACTAGTGACTTGGTATCTAAAAAGAGTCTCAAATAAGAAACAATTTCATTTCCATTTAAAATGGCACTGACAGGGAAAATTATAAAAACTATGAACTGCAGAGCAGCAAAACTACACACACACATGTGGGTGCACATACACATGGAGAAAAGGGTAATTCCTCACAATGTTGTGAAAGACACACTATTTTTTTTTTCTGGTAAGGCCGGCAAAATATGAGAACAGCAAAGAGATCAGTCTGAGTTCCAGGAAAGAAGAGCAAGAGATTGTTTTGTAATGTTTCCCAAAATATTCCCCTCCCCATGCATAACAAAACATATTCTCAAAAATACTCTGCCCAACCCCACAAAAAGGAAGTAAGATAGCTGGATATAATTGGATGATGACGGAGCAAAGAGATAGGTCTTCTAGCCTGAATCTATAATGCAAATTAAGTAGTATTCAGACTATTAAAAAAATTAAACAGCGATCCGTATGTTGATCATTATGCACACACAAGAGTCAGGACCATCATCATCATTAAGCAGTTCAGATCTACAGCTTTGGTTCAAAAGACCTAGCTTAAGTAAAGTAACCACGTCAAAAGCAAAGTTCTTGCATGAATGAGAGAAAGGCTTACTGCAGATTTTGCTTTACTGTTATGGTGGTTCAGCTGTTACGTCTATATGTTTCTGATAAAGAATTTCCCCTTTCTACTTGCATAATACACTTTATTTGAGTACTTGGGAGTATTTGAAATTACATGTAGACTTCAGTGAGGTAGTGGATAAAAGCTCTGCTGCATATCCTTTGAAAATAAAAATAGAATCCAAGAAATTTATGAAAATGTTCTTTCCTTGAAATGAGAGAGAATTTTTACTTGTGCACCTTTACAAGCTGCATTTTGCCCAGGCTGATAAGCAGCAAGTGTACTGGCTTAGAAACCAGACTGAAGTAACTAAATTTGTACCTGAATGTATATGAACTGGAGATCTCTTAGCCAAGGATTCATTCTTTCCTTTCTCTTTTTTACTACTTTTTTCTTAAAGAAAAAATATCTCTACAGACAGCGTGTTTAGCACAGTGAATATAAAACAGCAACTAAGTTTATACCTGCACAAGACAGAAACTGCTACATAATACCTCTTCCACTGTCAATATGCAACAGATATTGACCATGTTATATCAGCAGCATATAATTGATATTTTTAACTAACTGATGCAATGTGTGTGGTACAGGACCCACTCAGAAGTTCTCAAACACAATTTTACAGACAGACTTGGCACCTGTGGAGACTTCAAAGGGAACAGTTTAATGAGTGGGGTATTTTCAGGTCATTTCACCACAGGTGAGCAAGAACATAGACAAGTAAATAATACAAAGAGCAAGGAGAAGCTTATTATTTAGAATGATAATTTAAAAGGCCAGAGAGATGAGCATTTGGAAAGCTAGTACCAATGCTAACTTTTTCCAACAGCAGGAAAAACAACTATGAATTGATTGGTAAAAATGCAAGTACCATGAACTCGTATTTGTATTTCTTTTAATGGAAATATTTTGTTTGAAGTTGTCCAGTGCAAAGAGGCATTCAAAGGAAAGCAAGTTGAAATAACTGGTTCAGTACTTACAGTGCCCAGGAGCCTCATTTGCACATCACAGAGCTTGTACAATTCAAAATGCATATAAACATACACACCTGTCTGTACACTCTTCTTTATCTACATTTATTTTAACATACCTGCATACAGCAATGGCAGATCATTGCAAAGTTGGATATGAAAGTTACAATCAAGGAAAGAGAAGATACTCATGGAAATAAATATAAAATGTGAAAGAAAGACTGTAAGGAACTGAAGCATTAATGCAAGTTTCTGTTTAATTTTTTTCATTCCAAATCTAAATTTGGATGTTTCTGCAGCATTTCCATTATAATGTAGGAGAACAAGGGACACAAATTATTTTGTACCTGCTGAGGAAAACAGACCAAAAGAAAAAAAGTGACCCCAATTTACACCAAAACACAGAAAGTAGCCCTAAAGGGCTACAGTCTTTAGACACAGAAGCAAACTAGGTTTCATTCACTATTCAAGCAAGTGTCCCACAAGACCTAGATACATCCTATTAGAGAAACCAAAGTGATTCTCAAGTATATGTCACATTGTTGTTACCAAGCCAAAACCTAAACCCTGAAATGTATCTAACACATTACTCAATTCACCATACCTGCAAAGATGTTATCTACCAAATGTACTTGTAATCTATGGACTTTCATTTTAATATTTTTAAACTAGGTCCTAAAATTCTATTTCCAGGGCAACACAGTAATAAGCAAAAAAGTCTCCTTCACACAAACTCTGAGTGTCTTAACTGACATTACAGCAAAGCCACTTCTAAGCACAACTGCAAGGACAAATTGTACATAAATCGAGTACCAAAATATTATCTCTGTTCCTTTGTTCACAGAACCTGTAACACCACTATTTAGTACAGCACAGAAAATTAACTGTTAGTGTCCCGCAGGAGAATATCAGCGTGAAAGAGTTGAAGTCCAAAGTAAAGTGAAAATGCCCAACAGTCAATTGCCCAAGAATAATAAAATACAACATAGTTACAATTATGGTTACAGTAATGCAGCTGGCCTAGTATTTCAGGCAAAAAACCCCAGACTTCTAATAGACAGCAGAATGAATAAATAGAAGAAAATAGAATGAGGAATGGCTTCTCTTACTAAGTTCCACTACACAGTGGATGTAAAGAGTGCTGAAGATGCTTGTGGTTGTGTGAACTCAACAATCTTAAGATGTGAACAATCTCCAGTTGGACCCAATGACATTTTTTTCATCTGCTATACTCACCAGTTTCCCCTGTCACTTTTGTGGGACCAAGTGTAAACCCTGCTTACAGTTTCCCAAATAGGCTGATTCTTGTATAAGACTCTTAAAAGCTATTTTCTGCACCTGGTTAAGAGCTTGGAAAGTCAACCAACAGAAAATAATGGTAGCTTAAGCACCACCATTTCAAATGGAGCATGAACAGCCAACTTCATAAACAAAATAATGTTATTTCCAAGTGCTACCACCACCCCACAGAAAACAGTCACTACCACAGACCCACACTTAGTTTAGCTTGTGTGGCAGGGGTAAATCATAATTAATGGTTATTTCTGAGTACAGGATTCAATGAGCCAACTGCCAAGCAAAGTAGTATATTGCTTCATTCTCCCTTGTCTCTTGATCTTACGCAGGGAGGAGGGATTCAAAGGACGAGGAAACAGCTATAAAGCCCAGCTTCAGCCCAAGGAGGTCAATCTCCCTGATGCTGAAGGAGGCAGGACAGGGGAGCTCTGCAAAGCAACTGATGCTCTCCCTGTGTATGGAAGGAAGGCCAGGGCAGTAATTCCATCAAGTTCACTGTTGCACACCTGCAAAAGCTTTACTGGCAGGAAGGGTGGAAACAAACTCAGAAGCTTATCAAACACCTGACACAGCGTGACCATTGAGCAAACGCACTATATCTCCTTTTACCCATTATGAGCCAGCAATGGTCCCAGCATCGAGATGGACCAAACTCTGCAACCAACACTTGCATGGCATAAACACAGGCCCCCATCACTTACCTGGCACAGGTTATCCATGGGCAAAGACACTCTGTGCTGGGTCAATGTGTCTGTGATGCTTTTAGAGATAGCTTTACACCTAAAAGCAGGTTCCTTTATAGACGGCAGAAAGTAATACCACGCCAAAACCCCTGTCCAGAGCTTGATGCTACATGTGCCTGACCCAAGCACTGAGGCTGCAGAGGAAGATGGTACCATGGTGCTCACTTCACCACTTTGGTTGAGACCACGGTGTCAGCTTGGGCTTCAGTATCAAACCTGATAGTAGAGCCAGTGGCAGCTGACACTATGGGCCAAGGACTGCAAGACCACAACAAACACCAACACATCCACACTTCACTCTCCAGTTAACCGGAAAATTAACTACAATCTAAAATTTCTATTAGACTTTTTTATTTGTTAATAGAATTAATCCTGTAAATCCTTAAATATCAGTCTTCATAGGCTGTATTTTGAGTTGCTCATAAAATACAAATCTCTCCTATATCAGACCTCAGAAACTGTGACAGCACAACAGGCTGAACCACCCATCTAAGAAATGTGTATAGGAGGGAACACCGTACTCTTACCTGACAGGTAAGCAAACTGTTTCTTTAACTGGTCCTGAATATCTGCAGCATAGAGGGGAATGATATCCTGATGCATGATTTCATCTGTGGAGGAAAAAAAAAAAAAAAATTTGCATTGCAAAAGTCATTTTATGTAAAATTTCACAGCAGATATAAAAATAAAAAATATCACACCTAGAACACAAACACCCAGAAAACTGTCCAAGTTTTGAAAAATACATGAAAACGTTTGAGTCTTTCAACTGTTTGCCAAGGGCAAACTTTTCTTTGAACAGAATGCTGATAAAAGAGTGAAGTAGTGCGGATTTGCTAACACTCGGAAGCAGTGTGGGATGTCACTGAACCACTGTAGATAATATTCCTCACGAATGATGTTAAACAGTGGGGATTTTTACACATCAAACTCAATTTTTATTAAAATCTTCTCAACTCACGCAAAAAAAGAGAAACTTATGATCCCTCTAGCCTGTTGTCTAGTGTTCAAATACCCCAAAACAGCAGCATCCAAGAAGGCAGAACAGGCTTGAAAGTATATCCTCATATTGAACACACGCATTCATGCCTAAACTGTGAGAAGTACTGCTTAATCTTCTATCTCAGCCCTTCCACTTTAGCATAATGACAAACATACTGCTTTCCTGAGCTTTCATTTTCTGTCACAGTGTTTGAGCAGAAGCATTTCCCAGAGTGTATTTCCAGAGGTCAAGCAGAAACCTAAGTTTCACTGAGCACAATAAAGACTATATGACACAGAGTTGCCTCATTCATTAAACTATGATCTCATTGTTCTACAAGGAAACAAGAAGTTTTACTCCTTTGCAATTCCTAAAAAATAATTATTCTACATTTTTAGCCTGACTGAAAAGTAGTGAAGGGATAACCTGTAATTTTCATTATTTGGTTTTGAACATTTCTTTTCATCTGACATTGTATAAAGAAGTTTATTTTTTAATGTATACATTGGAATGTCATTAAGATAGACTCAAATCTGATACTCAGAACTGTGAATATGCACAGAAAAAGTAAGTAAAAACCTAAAAGTGATGTAAGAATAAGAGTCATCTGCCTTGAAGTACAAGCTGATCAAACAGGAGTAGAGCTCTGGCCCTAAGAAAGGGACTTGCTATTACTGAGCTCTTTCAAATGCTAGATCTTGGGCAGAGCACCACTCACTTCTAATAAGTGAGTCTCATATATATAAAATTTTGAGAACTGCAGCTATTTGAGAACAGCAAAAAACACCACTTTCAGTTACTTCTTCCAGATAAGCAACAACTTATACCAGGAAACAGAACTTCTCTGTTCTCTTTCGGCCCGTCAGGCAGAGGAAGACCCATGACCATTTTCAAGGTCACGCACTCATCAGAGCTATTTTTCTCCATCCGGTGAACTGCTGCTTGATCATAAGACCTCTGCATACCACACTGTCAAATCCATAAGTGGATATGTTTAACTGTTAAGTCATATTTCACCCGAACCTTCAGTTACGTCATCATCTTAATGTTCTTAAGAGAAAACTGAGCACAGATCATTCAAAAGTCCAATCTCAGGTGGCCAAGTCATTTCCAGAAGAGGAGACCCTGCCCTCCAAAGGAAGAAGGATTTTAGATTTTATGTTTATTGTCAGTGCTTTTTAATATAAGAAGCCCTCCAGCAGCAGTGTTTAAGAAACTAAACACCCCTGATTCTTCAAATCAATGCCTGCAGGTGGACCCATTTATCCGAATATAAACTATTATCTGATCAATGCCTCATTCTTTGGTGGGAGATGGGAAAAGAGTAAAGAATGTAAGCCCCTTGAAATATGCCATCCTGCCTACAGTCACAGGCAGAAATAGTTTTCATTACTGCAACATAAGCATGTAATAAAATAGGTGTGTTTTACATATGTAAGTAAACACATGACCTGCAACATTCAAGCAGGCAAGACATTCACAACGAAGTAAAAAACTCTTTTGTGTTTCCCAGATATATACTGATTACCCTTTCCTCATGTATCCGTGATATGAATCCCACTATAGTCCTGACTTGTGCCTATGAAGATCCAAGCCTAGATTCTACATTTGACTGTCCCAGTGTTCCCTCTGATAGGAGCAGCAGCTTTTGCAACCAGCACAGGGCAGCACCACAACCTTGTGGTCAAATACTGTTTCATTAAAAGACAGTATTTTCCCACACCTGGTTTTAAACTTAGTTTAAACTTAAACTTAAGAGCCAGACTGTCTGCAACTGGAGGTGCAGCACACTGTGTCCCTTCACAGAGAGAAAACCTCCAGAAGCCCTTCCTGCTGCATTCTCTACCAAAGCACATCTCAAATTGCTCTTGCTGATTTGGTTTCATAACACACTTCTGGAAGCAGAATACACATTAACATCAGAGCTCATTTTAGTAACACAGATAAGCAATAACAGTTCAAAACAAAGCAAGAAAATGCAATTCTTGGAACTGCTGAACATTTCCCATCCAGCAGCTTGACTAGATATGCTTGAACCCCATGTCAGTGTTCACAGATTGAGCCAGAAATCCCCCTCTAATACCCTCTGCTTCCTTTCAGAGGAAATGCAATTGTAAAACCTTATTGCTGTGCATAATTTCCTTCATATTTAGCATCCCTCTAGAAAAGAGATTTCATCACAGTTTGGGATTTAATCCGATTTCACTTCAATTTGGTCCATCACTAACTGAATGCACTATTTCCTTAACAGGTTAAAGTAATGAAAGGCAGGCATGCTAAACAGTCTGTGAGGGTAGGCTCTCCTTATTCTCATGGACTTCAGGGAAAATAATTTCTTGGAAATATTCTTTCAATAGAGAATCTGCCACCTGCTAAATTCCTGAGGGACAACTTCCATTTGTTTTTTTCCAACATTCCAATACAGAATTACTGAAAATCTTTCACTGTTTTATAAGGTATTTTTATAGTCTTGAACTTTACTTTCACTTAGATGGATTAAGATTGACACAGCCATGATTTTCCCCATTCTACATTGATTGCTTTACGTAGTATTTCCAAAACAGAGAACTAAGAGTTTGTCTGTTTTACAGTATCCAAAATCCATAGCTGAAAAAAAGATGCTTATATCAAAATGTACTAGAATATCAAAGTCTTTCCTGAAGAGCTCATTTAAAGAGTTTTTGAGAGTAGCTTGCTTAAAAGAAAGCCCCTGGGATTTATAGTGCACCTGTAGGTTCTAATAAACAGTAAAATAAGGTTCTGTAAAATTTTTACCTCTTTTTATCATCATAATCATAATTATTATTTAAAATTGAACACATGTGATAACTGAGAATGTACAACACTTTTTTTCTAAGCCAACAACTGGAGGCTCTTTTAAAAACCCCACATTATCCAGCATTTAAATTACGAGTGTGAGAGGACAGAAGTGTCATCTTACTAAGTCAGTTAAATATGTGGTTCTTAGAAAAAAAACATTTCTCTCTAAAAATGTGAACCACAATCTTACAGATATATCATCTTCTAACTCAGTTTTAAATCTTGCTTTGATAGTCCTGTCTCTATGATGGAGAAAGATGGCTTAGAGGGACCTGACCCCATCTCATCATACACACCTGACTGAATTTCAAATGAAGTAGGATGACAGATTTAAGCATGAGGACACAGAGATAACTTGTGCTTGAATTACCTGGTGCCAGTAAGCCCTGAAGAAACCTGGATCTGAGGAAACGATCAAGGTCACTGAAGCCAAGAGTTTCACTGTTTCACTTATTGGTAAAAGGTACCCCCTTTCTTTTCCGATCAAACTGAGATTCATCATCATTCAGAGTTTGCCTGACATGCTGAAGCAAAACCATTTTCACATAAGACAACACTGGAGGGGAGTCTGAACAGACTGTATCTACATTACATGGAAGGAAGTCTCTGGACACAACTCATGCGCCTCTCGTAATGAGTTTAATCAAATCCCCACCAAGTCAGCTGGAATTACACCACCCTTTCATTAGTTCTGCCTGAAATTCTATGGCCATTACTCTATACTAACTTGAAAGCCATCCTGTTTGTACACATACGGACACAATTATGCCTTTCAGCACAGATCCCAAGAGCCCACCATAAAGCAAACTACGAATAACTTTTTCTCTTCCTCTTTCTAGCCAAGTCATCAAGATTTCCCTGTAAACATATCTATGGCTTCTCTATGAAATTCATGCCTTAAATTGAAAAAAATGTCTTTTTCTCAACCAGTTTTGTTTTGCTTCTCCTCTGCAAGAGCCTACCCGCTCGAAAAGTTGCATGCCCTTTATGAAGGGGTCTTCATTTGAAAAATCTCTTCTTAAAACACCCTCCCATCTGGTAATTATAAATGCAAGATAATGACTTTCAGAACAGTCCCTTCATCTCTCTCAGCCTCAAGGCAAACCTTTCATTTCCTCATTCTTCCCTCTTCATCTTCACTCCCTGACCACCATCACTAACAGTCAGCTCCTTTGTGTAGTAGCCCCCAAAGGAGGAAGGGCCAGAGCAGCAGAGCTGGTGAAGACAGCCCTCCTCCTCCGTGCTAAACCACATGAAACTAATGAGCTAGTAAAGATGCTAAGAGAGCTCTCCAGCTTTAAATTGCATTTGGAAAATCCCTGCTAAATAGTGACAATGCCTGCAAGCTCTGTGCTAGGTGTGCTCAGGCACAACAGCTGCAGGCGGAGTTCCTTGGGTCCATGTGCTCTTTGTAGCTACAACAACCAGATGACAGGAGTTCATGCAAGTGTTCATTAACTAAGTATTAAAACTTCACCAGTTTGAAATATCATCAGGAAGATGACTACGCTGCCATCAAAACAAAGGGCCATGAAAAGCAAGTGATGAAACCTCTGGAATTCTCATGCAAAACGCAGTTTTCTGTGTAGTTGGGAAGGAAATTATCACATGTTTAAAACAGTGCTCTCACAACTTGTTCATTTCTGGTGAGCTAAAACATCCCAAGCAAGCAGGAAACACAAATTATTTGCTTCTGCCAGCATCCCGATTGCCAGCACAAACAGAAATAAAGCAACCTAGTGCTCCAAACAGCTTCATATGTCACTGGATGTCCAAGAAACATTTTAAACGATACAGTTATGTAAGAGT